TTGGAAATGCCAAGACTGTGAGGAATGACAACTCCTCACGCTTTGTACGTCGCTACTGCCCTTACAGTAATGATGGGGCGAGTGATAAATAAGGAGTTGTCCGAAGAAGCCATCCAGGCTGAAATGCTCCTCTGTTTCCTCAACAGGGTAAATTCATCAGAATCCATTTTGGGGCCACAGGCAAACTGGCTTCTGCTGACATTGAAACTTGTAAGAGACCCTCCTGGCCTGTTCAAATTCCTTCCCAAATTCCCATCTCCATGTCCCATCTTGTACCTGACTCTTTTCTCCTTCCTTGACAGATCTGCTGGAAAAGTCCAGAGTTACTTTCCAGCTCAAGGCAGAAAGAAGCTACCACATTTTTTATCAGGTCACCTCCAACAAGAAGCCAGAGCTAATTGGTAGGAGACATCACTGAGCTTTTTGGAGGCAGATTACAGAGCAATAGTTGATAACTTTACGAAAAGAATGAAATGTAATCTGTGAACATCCATTTGTTTTCAGAAATGCTCCTTATTACCACCAACCCGTATGACTACCCTTTTGTGAGTCAAGGTGAGATCACTGTCCCCAGCATTGATGACAAGGAGGAGCTGATGGCTACAGATGTGAGTAGTGCATAAAACAGGTCAATTGTTATACGTCATGCATCATATTCAGACAAATATTTCACTATACTGAATCTATTACCAGAGTGCCATTGACATCCTGGGCTTCAGTGCTGATGAAAAGACTGCCATCTACAAGCTGACAGGGGCTGTCATGCATTATGGGAACTTGAAGTTTAAGCAGAAACAGCGAGAGGAGCAGGCGGAGCCAGATGGCACAGAAGGTATTGTTAAATTCAGTAGCTAATGGTCCTTTGAGCCACTCTGTGTCTTAGCCAAAGTTGGGCTTTAGAATCCCAAGGGAAACAGTAAGTCAGAAGCAGTCCCTTCTCCACCCATTGTATCAGTTTCTCTGATGTAAAATCTCTGGATTTGTCTATCGTAAACCAAATTAACAATTTAAACTGTCCTGTGTACACTGCCAGGAAGCCAGGAGCTGTGGATGTCTTTTCTGAAATGTTATTGCTCATACTTTTGTTGGACATAGCTTATAACCCTTGTGGAACAGTAAAGTGGTTCAGCCCTAACAAAATGGGTGGTCATGTTCCTTTTCTCCCTCACCTGTCAGATGCTCAGGGAACTCTGTTGTGAAAGGTGCATTTGTTTCCACTCTGCTGGGGTAGGATCTTGAAACCATGTCTCCAAATTTCTCAGTGATGGCTCCTTCTTGCCAAAGGACTGAGCAGAAGGTGGGAAGTACCGCAGTCGCATCTGAGAAAGGACAGAATCCAATGAGTTTCACTCCTGAGACATGTGCATACCACAAAACTGTTCAGCTTTCAGTTTTGTAAAATTTTAACAAAGCATCATTACATTTTGCATGCCTCAATGAAGAACTTCAAACATAAGTTCTTTCAAAAAGCTCAACACACATAATGGTTTTGATGTCACTGAGACTCTTTCTGCAGTGCTTGGAGAAGACTTCAAGATACAAAATGTTAGTAATGCTGAATTCTTCTTTTCCATCTTGCTTTGCCATTTAGTGGCTGACAAGGCTGCCTACCTGATGGGTCTGAACTCAGCTGATATGCTCAAGGCACTGTGCTACCCTCGAGTCAAAGTTGGGAATGAGTATGTGACCAAAGGTCAAACTGTGCAGCAGGTTAGAAACATAGTCACCTGAAACCATGCTTTGAATTAAGACCTCTTTGATTCTTCTCTGCTGCGTATGGTAAATGCAAACATCTGCCTTTGCTTTAGGTGCACAATGCTGTAGGTGCTCTGGCAAAGGCTGTCTATGAGAGGATGTTCTTGTGGATGGTTGTTCGCATCAACCAGCAGCTGGACACCAAGCAGCCCAGGCAGTACTTCATTGGTGTCCTGGACATCGCTGGCTTTGAGATCTTTGATGTGAGTAACAAAGATTTGTAAGAGCTGCTTGGAAGTCACAACTGGGTGTTATGACAACTTTAACATCCATATTATCATCACATAATTTATTGTAATTGTTTGGAACTTGATGAACTTTAAGGTCCTTTCCTAGCTACTCTATGAGTGTATGGTCCTATTTGCCTTTTTTTTTCTTCCTATAAAGTAGATTTGACCCTTGAAAGGATTTTTTCATGACTATAGACTCATTATCAAGAGGTAAAAACTCAAAAGAGCAGAATGGTTCGAACAGAAAAATTCTTTCGTTTAAATGATCAAAGACAGCATAAGAGATAAAGATCATGATACAAATAACCTTTTTTCTGTAGCGTGGCCTCAGATGAGGAATGAAGTATATTCTACCTTCTCAGATTTATCAAGGATTAAAATATTGTTACAAACAACGATTTTTAAGCATTTCTCAATTTTGCTACATAGACTTAAAGCTGAATTAAGAAATACGCAGGCACAACGAAACCAATACTGCCGCTTTCTGTATTTTTAAAGGCTGAGGTTTTGCAGTTACTATTGCATCTTGCAAATATGAATCTTTATCATTTTACTCCCAGTTCAACAGCTTTGAGCAGCTGTGCATCAACTTCACCAATGAGAAACTGCAACAGTTTTTCAACCACCACATGTTTGTGCTGGAGCAAGAGGAGTACAAGAAGGAAGGCATTGAATGGACATTCATTGACTTTGGGATGGACCTGGCTGCCTGCATTGAGCTCATTGAGAAGGTATGAGCATAGGAATTTTACAATTACTAGAGCTCAGTTTTCAAACGAATCTTCCATGTTCATAAGCAAATATTTAGATCTCGTTGTTCAAAAATATATTGCTGTTTAGTTTATTTCATCTGCAGGTGAGACATTAAAGCTGTGTCACACAGCTTTATGGCAGCAGGTTTGCACTGATCTCTTCTGAAGTGCTAAAAGGTTGTTAAATTCTCAATCAAAATGTTTTCTCAAAACAGCTAGAATAAGTTCCCAGTTGAGCTTCCACCTCACCTCTCAGCTCCGACAGACTTGTGCTCCCACAGCAATACAGCTGTATCTTTGTAAAATAAACTCAGAGATGGAGATGCATAATTGATAGCAAGCAGTTGCACTTACATGTACATCCTTTGACTTAGAATAAGAAAGCAATCACATTAGATACAGGATGCAGTGTTCAGTGGCTGAGAGGATGATAAGAAATTAGAATCACAGAATTTCAGAGTGCAAAGGATCTGTGAGGTCACTTAATCTAACCCCCTTGGTCACATAAGGGTCAACTAGAACAGGTTTCTGAGGACCACAAAGCTCTGTTTTGAATATCTCAAGTGATAAACTTGAGACTTGATAACGATAACCTGTTTCAACAATTGACCATCCTCTTATTTTGTGTGTGTTTCACCTTGTCAGGTCACTGGGAAGCATAAGTGCCCTGAAAACTGAATTGCTGATTTTCTCTCCCATGTATTTTTCCCAGCCCATGGGCATCTTCTCCATCCTGGAAGAGGAGTGCATGTTCCCCAAGGCAACTGACACTTCTTTCAAGAACAAGCTCTATGACCAGCATCTGGGCAAGTCCAGCAACTTCCAGAAGCCCAAGCCTACCAAAGGAAAGGTTGAGGCCCACTTCTCCCTCATACACTATGCTGGAACAGTGGACTACAACATCACTGGCTGGCTTGAGAAGAACAAGGACCCCCTGAACGAAACTGTCATTGGGTTGTACCAGAAATCTTCACTGAAAACTTTGGCCTTACTGTTTGCCAACTATGGGGGAGCAGAAGCAGGTCAGCTCTTTGAAACATGTATTTTCACCAGTTTACAAAGTAGAAAAAGTATCATAAAAGGTAAAAACAAAAATATGAAATCTCTTATATTTATTTCTTCATTCTGCAGACGCTAGTGGTGGAGGCAAGAAAGGTGGCAAGAAGAAGGGTTCTTCTTTCCAGACTGTCTCAGCTCTTTTCCGGGTACAATACAGAGTTCAATATTTTTTCCTAAGATGAGGAGGAAATTCACTACTTAAAATAGTTTTTCCCCTTCCCCCCCACCCTCTTGCTTGTGATAAAAAAGAAGCCCTGAAGTTCTTGGGCCATGCTTTGATAGGAGTAAACCCACTGTAACTTAATTCTGCTCTTCCACTGAATGCACAAATTTTCTTTTCATCCACTTTTCACCAGACAGTGTCTTCAGATGGAACAACATTATACAGGAAACTTTTAAGAAACATCTAAAATATGCATATTTCCTTCAAGTGCCCTCCTCTAGCTTCAGAAACTTTGATTGCCCTGTAACAATATTCCTTCTGCCTGCTGGTTTCCTTCAGTCATATATCTAATATTTTTTTCATGATTAATGGATCAGCCTCTTAAGGTTGAAATACCATCACACCTTGGGATGTGGATTTTTAAGATGTTGTATACTTGACAGTTATTTTCTCATAACCAACTCTTGCTGCCTGTCAGCACCATACATATCTAAACTCTCCTCGAGGCTATTTATTATACTCATCCTTCATTTAGTGTTCCCTTCTTAATATAAATTAGTTCCTTCTACAGAAAGATGTTGAGACTGCTTTTTTGGAAACATGCCCTGGAGGTACCTGCCTCCCTCCACTAATTATACACAATAATCATTTACAAAAACTTACTCAGATATTAGTTACAAACCAACAGTGCGATTCATCTCACCTCATTCTCATCTCACAAGTGAAAGATGCAACCTAGACATATAATACTCAGCTTGTTGTTTTTGTTCTATGTAGTGTGATCCACTTTAAATGCATACTGTAGTATGCTTCAAACTGGCTCACAGAGCTATCTGTATATCTCTCCTGGTGCACATAATGGAAGATGGGTATCATTTCTACTGAACGCATTCCACTAGATTCAGAGAAATGTCACAAAATTGTATGTTTGAGAGCACAGTATCTCCTACAGACAAAACAGACACATTTTCTACATTAAGTGAATAATCATATATGGAAACTCAGAAAAACTGGTGCAGGTGGTGTCAGCTCAGGATTCTGCAAGCTAATGTTTGTTTGATAATGTTATCTCATTACAGAGGGCTTGATGCTTACAGTGAGATTCTATTTGCTAATATAAACTTTTGTTGATGATTCTCCCAGGAGAACTTAAACAAGCTGATGACCAATCTGAGAAGCACCCACCCCCATTTTGTACGCTGTATTATCCCAAATGAAACAAAAACGCCTGGTAAGAGACTCACTCACAGACAACCTTCAGTATCTCTTCTCTGCTGTACTACAGAATACAGCACTCATTTGTACTCTGAATTGCTAGGTGCCATGGAGCATGAGCTGGTTCTGCACCAGCTGAGGTGTAACGGCGTGCTGGAAGGGATCAGAATTTGCAGGAAAGGATTCCCCAACAGAGTCCTGTATGCAGATTTTAAACAGAGGTCAGACTGCATTCAATTCCTGGATTTTGTCCATCTTGAGCTTACAAAATTTAAACCTCACCTCTGGTGACAAAAGCATTCTCTTAGCATTTACATCTAGCAGTGGAGTTATGTTGTCTTTCTTGCAGGTAACTGATCACAACAACAGACCTGTTTATATTACCATTTTGTCCCCCAGATACAAAGTACTAAATGCAAGTGCTATTCCAGAGGGACAGTTCATTGACAGCAAGAAGGCTTGTGAGAAACTTCTTGGATCGATTGATATAGATCACACTCAGTATAAATTTGGTCACACCAAGGTACCAGAAGTGTTTGTTTAAAGTACTATGTGTTTTTTGTTTTGTAAAGCTTGAGGGTGATACTGAGATTCTTCAGATAGCATGGGAAATCATCAAACAATAAGTTTAAAACACATAAACTAGATACTAATTGACTCAATACTTTGAAATTCATTGATGGAGAATGATTCTAATTAAGGGTTCCTAATTGAAGACAAAGTTGTAGAATAGTAGAATCAAGAATTAATAAGAACAATGGAATAAGATCTTATAGTTTTTCGTGTACTGTAATATGACTATAATAGCCAGACCAGCATGACTGAAGATATTAAAGAGGAACTTACATGGTAACTACACATATTCTTTGTGCTTTTGTTTTTTCTCTTAACTTCTGTGATATCTGCCATGGAGGAACTGGTTACTTGGCTACAGTGACCAATGAGCACATACACTGCACTTATTTTCGTTTTTTGATCTAAGGTGTTCTTCAAAGCTGGGCTGGTTGGCCTTCTGGAGGAGATGAGGGATGAGAAACTGGCACAACTCATCACTCGCACACAGGCCAGGTGCAGGGGCTTCCTGATGAGAGTGGAGTACCAGAAAATGGTGGAGAGGAGGTAGACATTTCTTTAAATTAGGTTCACTGGGTTTGATATATTGTGTCATCCAAGTCTAAACTGCCAATATTTATTTGACTTACCTTTCAGAGAGTCCATCTTCTGCATCCAGTACAACATTCGTGCATTCATGAATGTCAAGCACTGGCCCTGGATGAAGCTGTTCTTCAAGATCAAGCCTCTGCTGAAGAGTGCAGAGTCTGAGAAGGAGATGGCAAACATGAAACAAGAGTTTGAGAAGACCAAGGAAGAGCTTGCAAAGTCTGAGGCAAAGAGAAAGGAGCTGGAGGAGAAAATGGTGAAGCTGGTGCAGGAGAAAAATGACCTGCAGCTCCAAGTACAGGCTGTGAGTTTATCATTCACTTATCACAGAGAAAATAAGTTTGCATGTTCAGATTTTTCTTCATCAAACAGAAGGTCAGATTACAGAAGACCACAAGTCAGAAATTTGGAGATTTATCGATCATTTGTGTGCAGGCTGTGAGTAATACCAGTGTGACTGATTCTAACTGACTGTGAACTTAAGGTTGACTACATTTTCAAAACACACATAGGAATTACAATTTAATGTAATTAAGTTGTACTTCACTAAGTGCTACAGTGAAAAACAGAACTAGCTATGGTAAGAACTGTCAGAAGGCTACAGTCATGGCATTTCAAGACCACATGGATACCAGAGGTTGAAACATTTCACAAAATCATAGAACAGCACATCCTGAGTAAGAAGGAACCCAAGAATGATTTGGTCCAACTCCCAGGTTAACACAGGATTTCCTCAAATTCAAACCAAGTTTCTGAGAGCTTCAACAAAACAATTCTTGAATACTGACAGGTTCAGTTCCATGACCTGGGGAGCCTGCTCCAGAGCCCAACCGCCCTAGTGGTGAAGAAACTTTTCCTAATATCCAATCTCCTGATGCAGCTTCATGCTGTTTCATCAGGGACTACTGCTGGTCACCAGTTCTGTGGTGTTGGCTGAGACCATTAGCACTTACATTCAGTTGAACTGCATCAGAGCAATTAAGAAATTTTACTTTTAGTATTATATTTTTGTTCTTCTATTTATGTTTTCCAACCTCTCCAAAACAGAGAATGTCTATCCTTATAAATACATGACTTTAGGGAATACAAAAGAGGGCATTTCTTCTTTCTGTATCCCAATTAAACAAGATAATTTCTTCCTTTCCAATGTAGGTGGAATTCATCTCACCCTCTAAAAGTACCCAGAAGCACTAGATAAAATTACACGGTACATCTATGAGGTTTTAATCCTGTGATTTATTTAATCCTGTGCATGTGCTCACTGCTGCCTCATGGCCAGCTTCTCGCCCACCAGGACCCCAAGTCCTTCTGTGCAGGGCTGCTCTCAAGCACATCTTCCCCCAGTCTGTATCAATACCTGGCATTGCCCCCACCCAATGGCAGCACCCTGCGCTTGGCCTTGTTGAACCTCATTTGGTTCTCATGGGCCCACTTCTCCAGCCTGTCCAGGTTCCTCTGGATGGCTTCCCTTCCCTCCAGTGTATCAATGGCACTGCTCAGCTTGGTGTCATCTGCAAATGCATAGTCCAAATGACTCAATTTCTGACAGCTACTGGATGTGACAAGAGTATTGCAGACAAAAAGCTGAAACTGATGGATGCTGAGTGTTTTTTGAGAAGTGGTGAAAATCTAAAGCAGAAACAGTTGCTCTAAAAAGCCAGTAGGGTAAAAAGGAGAAATAAAAAATAGTATGAACGTGAGCGTCACTTTGGTATTTGTATGTATGTCTTGGCATATGATTATCACTCAGCATTTGTAAATGCTTGTAATTAGAAGAGAGATTCATATAATTAAACCCATAGTTACACACTCTGTTAATTATTATGGGTTAAGATACATATACACATGTATATGTGTTTTAATACTCAGCTCTTCCTGTAGATAAGAAAGGGTTTTGTTTGGCATTAGCTTTCAAAACCAGATGTATTAAAAGGAACAATTTAAAATAAATTTAAAATTGTCTCTATTTCTCCTGGAATATAAAACAAACATTTAACTAAAAAATTGCTAGTAAGGAATCTAAATTTATGAAGCTGAGAGTCACACTATTTGCCCAAAGGGCATATCTGAAAAAAATGCATTTCCCCTCAGGAAGCTGATGCATTGGCTGATGCTGAAGAAAGATGTGACCAGCTCATCAAAACCAAAATCCAGCTGGAAGCCAAAGTAAAGGAGGTGACAGAAAGAGCTGAGGATGAGGAGGAAATTAATGCTGAGTTGACAGCCAAGAAAAGGAAACTGGAGGATGAATGCTCAGAGCTGAAG